AATGGGGAGTGACTCATTGGCCTCGGTAGAATTTAGAATAATCCAATAGTAAGTGAGTAGTAGTAGTAGTGTCTCTTTAAATGGTGATGTCTCTTTAAATGGTGATGTCCCTTTAAATGGTGATGTCCCTTTAAATGGTGATGTCTCTTTAATTGGTGATGCCTCTTTAAATGGTGATGCCTCTTGAAATGGTGATGTCTCTTGAAATGGTGATGTCCCTTTAAATGGTGATGTCTCTTTACATGGTAATGTCTCTTTAAATTGGGATGTCCCTTTAAATGGTAATGTCTCTTTAAATGGTAATGTCTCTTTAAATGGGGATGTCCCTTTAAATGGTGATGTCCATTTAAATGGTGATGTCTCTTCAAATGGTGATGTCTCTTCAAATGGTGATGTCTCTTTAAATGGTGATGCCATGCCGTGCTGAATCTCAAGACGTCAAAAAAAAATGGGGAGTCACGCAATGGCCTCGGTATACTTGAAGTAGTTATTAAGTCAAAATTAGTCAATGATAAACTTGGATGTTCAACAAATACGGTTTTAGTAGAAATGTCAACTTGTTTCTTTGAATGGTATGTCATTTTATCTAGAGTTGATTCAACCTAATGATATATTCACACATCTCTAGGAAGCGGGGTCTACGTGGGTGTAAACGATATTAAAGCACAAAGTTTGATTGAGATTCTTTCTTAAATAGATTACTGACTTGATAGCAAAATAACTTCAGTGTGTAACAGTCACAATCGTGTGTAGAGGTCAACCAGTGAAAATAAAATGCAGGCTCTGGCTAGTTCAATGACAATGACCTTCAGTTGGATACTTGTAAACTGGTTTTCCTTGAATAATAACGTGTTGACTCACTGGTTACAATTTAAAATAGCAGGCTTAAGTTGAAATATTATAGTCACCTTGATTAACTTGTACTTGTAGAGAGAGAAAAAAAAGCTTGACAGTTCCTCCATGTTCTCAGTGTGCTGCAAATTATAAACATTATGTGATGCACATAAAAATATAGATTGCTTTGCATCCAATGTTATTATTCAAATGACAGGTACAACAAATTTGTCCTAGCATATAAGACGAGGAGTGTGCCTTTATCTTTGTGTCTTTCAGAGTATTTTATTAAATTTTGTTTTTGTATTTGAAGATTATGGTTTAGTGTTTTATGTATAATTGCTACTTTACTTTTGAGTCTTCTGTCCTGAAGGCTTTCTAAATTTAGTGATTTTACTAATGGTGTTACTCTAGTCAAATGTGAATATTCGCTTGTTATGAATCTCACTGCTCTATTTTGTGTTTGTTCCAGTTTCTTAATGTTTTCTTGAGTTGAGGGGTCCCAAACGGTGGATACATATTCTATTATTGGCCTAACCAAGGTTAAATAACATTTTAGTTTTATGTTCTTATTTGATTTATAGAAATTTCTTTTAATAAACCCTAATGCTTTGTTGGATTTTTTTTATAGTTTCAGTTTCATCAATATGTGGATTCCATGACAGTTTTTCATTTATTATAACACCTAGGTATTTTGCGTTTTTAGTCTGTGTTACTGGTTTGCCATGAATAAGATAAGTGGAATTAATTTGTTTTAGTTTTTTTGTTACTCTTAACAACTGACATTTTTCTGGGTGGAAAGACATGCTTCAATTCGATTCCCATTTCTGTAATTCATCTAATTCTCTTTGTAAAATATCTGTGTCTTATGTTGTTTTTATTGTTCTATATATTATGCAATCATCTGCAAATAATCTGACTTTTGTTCCTGAACTAATGCAATATGGTAAATCATTTATGTAAATTAAAAATAGTAGTGGACCCAAGACTGTTCCTTGAGGTACACCTGAGTTTACTGTTATTGGTGTTGATTTAGAGCCATTTATTATTACAGTTTGTTCTCTCCCTATCAGAAAATCTTTAATCCACTGATGCAGTGGACCATTAATGCCGAAATATTTTAATTTTTTAAGCAAACTATGGTGGTGAACTTTGTCAAAAGCCTTGGAAAAATCTAGTAAGATATCATCTATTTGTTCACTATTATCTAAACCTTTTGAAAAATCATCAATTAGTCCTATTAGTTGTGTTTCATATGATCTATATTTCCTAAAGCCATGTTGGTATGGGGTGAGGACATTATGTTTGTCTAAGTGGTTTATGATGTTGCTACATATTATGTGTTCTAGGATTTTACATGTGATGCTGGTAAGTGATACTGGTCAGTAGTTTCCTGGATCAGATTTTTCTCCTTTTTTAAATAGGGGGGGGGGGGGTGACATTAGCTTCTTTCCAGGTACAATAGTTACTGTCCCTGACCGGACGAAGCCTCCAGAATTGTCGGTATCCTTTTCTTTGTTTGTGTTGCTTATACATTATTTTCTAATAGACTTCTTCAAGGTGACGAAAAAATAGGTACAACAGACACGGTACCTGCCCGGACGAAGCCCTCAGATGTCGATAATAATACTGGTTAAAATAGTAAACTGGTTAATAAACTGGCTAAATAATACAGATTGTCTTAAATTCACTCAAATATGTCAAGGTAGTATCTTGTTTGGCTGATCGAAGCGACAAAAGATAGATAACAGGTACAACGATACCTGCCCGGACGAGCCCTCAGATGTCAGGGTTCACATTATATGCTTGTTCTTGTGTTTGACTTGGCTCACTAGGGGGGTTTCACAAATACGAACAATTATTACTTGATACACTTTAACTCCAGATATCCACTCAATTAGAATTACTTATTACTAGATAAACTTCAACGCTACGAATAACAATAATACTTTCCATGAAATAACAATGATACTTTAATACTTAATAAGCACACAATTATATTAACTGTCAGTAAATGATACACAAAACACCAGTCCAGGAAGTAAACGTCCAACCTTCCTGGACCGGGAGCAAGACCTCGCTGACTTAACACACTCTCTCGCACATTCAACGAATCATTCAGTTCATAACACGTGCAACGCTTCGCATTCATAACAAGGGGATATAACAATCATACCAAAATATCAAAGTAGCATTTATTCTCACCATACCCCCCCCCCCCCCCTGACTACAGTGAAGAGACGAAGCTGAGCTAGTTTGGTCCTAGTGTAAGACGTGACTCACTATCAAAAGTCATTCTTCAAGGTCCAGTGGAGGGAAGCCCGAAGAAAGGGTCGTCCAAAGACAACGTAAAAGAAGGGACAGGTCTTTCTCTTGATATCCTGTAAAGAACGGCCCGGGAAAAGCTGAGGGATTAGGTTACAAGAACTGTCATATCAGCCCTACGACAAAAGTCAATGGACAGATTAAAGAGATGACCGGAAATGTGGGCTTAATGTTGGTGGGGAAAGGAGTGAAAGAATTGTGGGTGGGGGAGGGGGGAGAGTATTGTTTATGGAGGCAGAGTGAGAATAATGCTTCTGTGGGGAAAGAGTAGGAATCATGTAGGCCTGCATGTGTAAGGAGGAACAGCTGATCTCCGAACACACCTCCGTGTGAAGTTGGCCTAATAACGCATTTTTTTTTAAATTTAGAAATGGCAAATACGGGGAAGTAGGAATAACAACAATGATTTTAGAAATATATCCAATTGTTGTAAATCTTATGCATGCAGCTCAACGAAGTTCTACAGTAAATAAATACGCGTGTTTATTCAACAGGACAAACACAAAACAGTCTTCTACATTCAAAAGAGTCTTGTTCCTAATTCTACTAATCCTTTCTCCACCAAACCTGAATACGGACCAACGACAGCCTTCCCTGCTTCGCTCCAGGTCCCTATTACAGTCTTCAGGCAGCACATAAGACGGCTCCTTAGTTCCCCAACTATTAAGATTTTCCCCAATCACTTGATACACTGTTCTTTCTTCTAATACAGCGTCTTCTGGTTCTTGTTCAATAGTGCGCTCGTACGCACCACAAGCACTGATGCTAGGCAGGGTTACAACTTTACAACACTATATATACGCTCCCCAATCCATGAATGAAGGACACAGCTCTTATATAATTTTAGGTAGCAATAAAACGAAATGAAAATAAATCTGATAGTCTAGGTAAATTTGGGTATTGTACTTTCTAAATTCTGGGGAGTTTGTTTTCTGAGGCTCAGAGCTCGTTCTCTCGGTGGAGAGTGAAGCAAGATAAGCAAGATCTTTATACCTCGCAGCTCAGGCCAGTACAGATAATAGGTCAATGCTATCACTTTTCACAGGCTCACTCGGCCAGTCTTAGATTTTAGTGGGACACGCTGACATTGCCGTACGATTTGTTGAAAGTCTGGACCACAGTGACTAGGGGAGATGTGTGTTATCACAAGTATCAAAAGACGACATCGCCATGAGGCTAAAACCTTTTAAACCGTACCCTCTTTTTTTCTAGCTGTAATTATCAGTGTTAAGAGATCTTTACATTTTCAGAGGATCTCACATTATGATCTTTTAATGTTGCTCATCATTAGGTTACAATTAATAAGTGTTCAAAGAAAAGAAATACTTTGTATTTTATAAATCTAAATCTACCAAGTTACAGAAAGAAAGAGATTACGTAAATATCTGTCAGGGCGAAAGAAAGTTTCGTAATTTAATGTGTGTGTGTTTTATGGAGAGTATGTTTGTGTGTTTCAAGATTTATTCAAGATTGGTGTAAAAGATAAAATCAATACCTACAAGGGTTAGTTGGGCTATCTTTCTGGAGCCAGAATCCAACGCACTTCCCCAAAAACACTATGTGTGTTTTGAAGCACAAGTCCACAACTACACAACATAGATCACCAAACACTTGGACCAAAGGCTTCAAAGCCAATGTTAACGTATATTCTTACAATAACATTTTGTTATCAGAAATCATGATCATAAACATATACCCCTACCCCACAAACAACACTATAACATTAACCACGAATCTGCACTTGGGCGTAGGGCCCCCGCGTGGGGCAATGTTTGAGAGTCGTGGTGTAGAATGCGGTAGAACTGCCCTAATAGGGCGATAAGGCGTCCATCGACACTCCGCCTTAGTTTCAGGAATAGAACTATTTACAAGTCTGACTTACATCTTGAAGTCTAGAATGACAACACTGGTATCAAATAGAATAGGAATACATGAAATAAGGACACACTATTTAGACTCACCTTTTAGTGTTCTGCATTTGTTATTGGCTCAGCATGTTCAGTGTTTACCGGAAAACAAATCAAAAACAAAAAGTTAAATATCAATAAGCCATTTGCGATGTTGCTATAAAATATCAAGAGGGGAAAAAAATCAAGTTTCCTCTGGTTTCCAACAGACTATAAAGCAAAGGTTAGTATATCAGTTTGTAGCTACCATTGTAAAATTGATGAGTTTAACACTTTAAAAAAAAAACAGTTCTGCAACTTTAGCTTTGAGCATGGATCCTTGTAAACACGTTAAATATTTTTACACACCATTATATATATTGATAAGATAAGCATATATATATACTTATCTTATCCTATAATATGCAGACGTTCCTTCACAACAGAAGATAATTACGTGTGTGCGTGCTAACCTAATCGTCCATGTTAATTTTAGAGACTTAAACTCTGTAATTGGTTTTCCTGGCTGATTCAGGCAACCCATTCCGTGCCCGTATAGGCCTCTTATATATTCATATTTGCTTCCATAATAATGACTATAATAGTCCTATGTTAAATGTGGGGTATAGAGTTCATTAAGGAGTATTTTACGTCTCGAGGTTACCCCTTGCAACATCCCATGGAAGAGGCCTGTACTTAATACACATGAACGTTCACAAGCTTAGCATTTAGAAAAACAACAACAGAGATGCAACATATTCAGCCTGTCCTCTTTTTCTGACGTATTCATCGGGGTGGAAAATTAAACAAAGATCCGATAGCTCTGTCCAAACCAACCGCTTGGCAGTTTCACAAGGAGACCTCCATCGGTTTGATGCGGCTACGTACCAAGAATATGAAGTAATTCCAGGGGAAAGTGTGTGATTCGTCCAAGGCCGCCCCAATCACGAAGGTCACGGTTTGTTGCTCTAGGTTTGGTTTGACCCAATAGTTATTGCTCCAACACCCATTCTCCGATCAAGTTGAAGCTTCAAACAATTATTCATTATACAAAACATAAATCAATTTTTAAAAATTAACCAATTAGTCAATTAATTATTGGTAATTAATGATATGTTTGTTTGATATCGAATAAGGAAAATAACTTCTACCTTGTTGGGAGATATAGTTCTAAATGTGGAGTTTTTCACCTTAGTTAAGCTTTGTTTTAAAAAAAAATATCTTAACAATATATTTCTTGTTGTTTTATACTGACACAATTTCTGTTTTTTTTTTTTTAAACGTATTATTAATGTTCAACAGAAATGGACTTTGTCAACAAAAGTAAAACTGTGACCATCATTGGAATGGGAGACTTTGGGCGTGCTCTTGCAAAGAGACTCCTCAGGTTTGGTTATTCCGTAACCTTCGGGGGATTAAATCCCAACTCTCACAAGATCTCACCTCTAGATCCGCTGTTCTCGCAGACTCTCATCACCTCCACCAAAAGCGCCATTCGAGCAAACGAAGTTGTGTTCTTGTGCATCAGCGTCGTGCACTTCCAACACTTCGCTGAGAAGTACAAAGCAGCTCTCTCACGGAAAATCGTGGTCGACGTCTCCAACAGGGTCAAAGACTTCTACGTAACAAATTCGAATGCGGAATTTTTACAGTCGTTGCTTCCGGATGCGATCGTCGTCAAGGCTTTCAACGTTGTTTCCGCTTACGTCATGGAAGGGAACTCTGTGCAGAATTCACGAGTCGTCCCAGTGGCAAGCAATCACTCCCTAGCTCGGCAGGCAATAATAGACTTAGGCAATGAGGCAGGCTTTCGTCCATACGACGCCGGCATGTTGTCGAACTCGGGTTCTATTGAACTCAATTCCACAAGGATGTTTTCTAAATGGAAGTAAGTCTTCGTCTTGATAAAATAAGATTATATAAGATGTGACTTTTTGAATATTCTTCTTCTTCTTGAAACTGTCAGGTAAAGTTGAGCCTTCGGCTCTTGGAACTCTTAGCCAGCAAAAGTGAACAAGAGCTCCCTTTCACGGCCTGAATGATAACAGTGTACACTGTTCTGTCTGGCGGGGTGTCAGACTCGCGGCCAGAGACCGCGTGCACCGGGACCCCTGCCATTTTCCTTTTCTATACCAGGCTAGGATACGCCATTTATGTAACGGCTCCTTGAGGAACGGCGCCTGGATTGTGACAAGGTTGTGGGAGCTTTTTTACAACTTCGCACAGTGTAATGAGGATGCTCTCGCACCCCCTTAGGCACCCCCACGGGAGTCTAGTTTTGCTACCCTTTAGCTTAATCGTTTCCTCCTACGATCGTTTCCACCCGGGCGCCACTATGAGGCAGGGTAGCATGCCCGGGACTTTTTGATTATAAGATTATATAAGATGAGATTGTTTTTAACTGGTTCAAAATTGGTGAATGTAACTTCATGTACCACTTTATACGTTTTTATAACAATTATCAAACATAAAAAAATTATGAAAGCAGGCAACACGCTACAGTCTAATATTGTTCACGTAAACACTATCAGAATCGGTTTTAGCAGTACACGGCGCTATGGGCGAGTGTCATGTATAGAGGAAGACAGAATGAAAATTGCTTAATACAGACTTGTTTGCCTCGAAAACTGTAGTTAACTTTTATGACTTATTATTATTGTTATGAAACGCACATAATATCTTATGCATGTAACATGGTCCTCTCGTTTACCTTATAATTTTACTTGTTCATAAACTGTAACATTAAAAATTGGCCCCTCTCCTTTTTTTTTTTACAGGCGCAGGGCCTGGGGCGTTTTCCCCACTATCCATCCCCAAAAGCTGTATCTGAAACTAGATCGCGATTTTTGTTTGTTAAAGTTTCTTTCTAATGTTTGTTGTGAATGAAAGATGGCGAATAAGGTTATTTGGACAGTTGTGGACACTATAGAAGCGTTACAGTTGCGCTGGGTAGGACCGCATGTAAAAAAGCGATTGTAACAGAGGTACCATCTGTAAACATTATAAAGATCAACTCAGGCGCCATTTTGCTCTCACTGGCTAGAAGAAAGCAGCTGGCAGCAGATGGTTGGATACCTCACGCTAAGTCCGCGGGACACACGTTTGAGATCCAGAGGAAAGCCTCTGTAGAGGACAGGCGCCAAGGTGTAAAGAAAACTTATCTAGACCCCCGGTGGCTTGTCTGAACACATGCGGAAAAATATGTAGGCCGCAACTGGGTTTGCGTATCAATGTGAAACACGGCACTCATTTTTAATCTTCGGAATCAAAGACATTGCCATTATTTTTATTGCCAGTATAATCTTAATTAAGTGTATTGTTTTCGACAAAAATGACTATTAAATATAAAATGACAGCTGTTATCTTTACTAGTTTTTATTTTAAAAAATTAAGCACAAACTTTTAGTCAACTATTTCCCTAATCATTCTTCTCTGTCTCTGAGATGCGATAAATTCTTCTGACACTCTACGAATCTACTTCAAGATATGAAAGTTATTAGTCACAAAATTTACCTTTTGGTCAGGTTTTTAGTTGAATAGTGAAAACTGTGAAAGTTAGGGTTACAGTACTTCAAACGTGAGTTGGACATTTCTAAAACTACCAACTGCCCAATGCAAACGATTCTTACATACTTTTTAAAATGAACTTCTTATAAATCCTGGGCTAAACCATACTTCCACAGGGTGCCCGTGGTGACTGCTGCAGCTGTGTACGCTTTGTGGTGGCTGTTTGTAGCCTACGTGGACTTTATAAGGAAGGTCAACTTCACGTGGGAGCAGGTCTTTCTTAGGGTGGCCAACAAACCATTATGCATGACGGCTATAACTTTGCTAGGTGAGTAGACTGCTTCCTTCTACAGTGATTCTATCAGCCTTAGATTAGATTACATTTTTTTTCCAATGCAGTGCAACACATTTTTTTTTAAAGTTAAAATTTGCCTCGTAATGGATTTTCACTAAACAATGTCAAGGACGCTAAATGTCTTGTCTTTGCCAATGAATAATTGTGCAAAGTTTTGACTTTATCGGAGAATGGGTGTGAGAGAAATAACGTGTACAGCCTTTTTACCAGACAGACAGACAGACAGGGTGATATAAGCTTTGTACAAATTATTTTAAAAACCTCAACGCAAACGAAGTACCTCGTCATCCCAACAACGTTGAGTCTCGTCTCCATTGCAAGTAGCTGTACAGTAGAGTCTTTGCCGAGTCATCTGACTGTACTGTACAAATACTGTTTAGTTGCCTGTATACATGTATGTAGATATGTATGTAATTTGTATTGAATTGTATGCTACGTCTATTGATTTTCACATTAATCAAACTGTTTGTGTATATCTTTGGGACTAAATACAAATTTACCACACAGGGACAACTCCGGTTTGCTTGTTATAGTGTTTGAATATGTTATTACCTTAATGTTAAATTTAAACATTATGAAAGCGGTTTCAGTGGGTATTCCCGCACTCGACTCAAATGTTTCTTTGTCTTCAGTAAAGCAAAGTGTTTCTCAAACTTTTTCCTTTAACGAACATATTGAATAACGTGTTCAAAATTTGTACCAGGCAGACAGTCTGAGCTGATGTAAGCTTTGTAAAATAATAATTGTTAATCAATAGTCTAACTCTAAATTATTTTTTTTTCAAGTAAAAAAACATAATAAATTATACAGACAAACACCTGAAAGATTAATGTTTAGTCATTTTGATGCTTTTGTGTTCTTGAAGAGCTTAACTTCTAGACACCAGGCACGAAATTGATAAACTCAATTCTTATATCATGTGGGGCATCAAGCCGCCTGTTTTTTTAGATATATGCTTTGATTTTGTTGCAACATAATGTTTAAAAAGAAATCCTGTTTCTCACAAATCGGTTATCGGAAGCAGAAATAAAATAATATTAGGTTGTTTTGAAATATTTAAAGGAAATATTCAGACAAACTCGACCAGAACGGAGTTTGTTTGTTTTTTACCGAGAAGAGCTAATGAAATCAATTTCCGATGTCCTCCGGTTATGCGGGAGAGGAGTGCCAGAGCCTACTAGTTCATTGTTCCGATAGGTCCGGAGGTTATGAACATCCATTCAAGCCTCGCGGAACCCCAGTGTTCGTTGTTCATTTGTAAAATGTTTTACATGTTTCGAATGTTCCTTCAGAGTTGAAGATTTAATTTCTAGTCCAAGCCTCCCGCAGGACGACGGGGGATGAGAGTGGGCAGG